TCTCAATCCTTGCTACTGACAGTAGCCATTCATAATGGGTTTTTTTAATTACTGGATAAAACATTTATGGTTGTTGAATTTTATGTTGTTCAATAGGGGTTAAATGAATGTAAATGCAGTTTAGCGGAAATAAATATCATAGTTTTTTTTTAAATTTTTATTTTATTTCAATTACATCCAACACCGGAATCGCCCATTACAGGATGTCTTAAACATACAATATATAAAATATAGTAAAATACAAACAATAACATACAAAGGAAGCAAATTGACAATAAAGAGAGTTCCTAGCTTAACTAAAGAAAGCCTATACTGAATTAGCAACTTTGGATTTAAACGTGGAAATACTGTTAAAAAATATGTCAATAGTGGTATCGTTACGTGTAATGGTATTAATAGTTATAGGAGAGTCTGTGAAAAAAACCGTTTTTAGTAGCATTGACCCGGCTAAGGGGCACAGAGAATAAGTCAGTGTTAAGTGAATTGGGTCTATGTATTTTTAACTTAAATAAAGATAAAAGAGGGCAAGTAAAAAGCGAGTTACAACATTTATAAAGGAAGACCATATCAAACGTACCCCTTCTAGTGTGAAGTGGTAAGAGATGAATAGTGGCAATAACGTTGTTATAATTAATAAATACATGAATTTGGATTGTACTCGTTCGATGCGATTTGATTGAGAAATACAAATAGAATTATAAATCGTAGATGAAAAATAAAAAATTGGTCTAAAAAGAGAAATATAAAGATGAAGTTTGGTGCTACTATCGAGCTCTTTACAGTGCCGCCAAAACATGCCCAGCATCCTATTACACTTGGATACAATATAGTCAACATGTTTGTTAAAATTAAGCTTAGAATGAATGTAAATTCCAAGATCTTTTTGAACATTAACCTTCTTAATTAACGAACCATTAATGTTGTAATCATAATTAACTAAAAGTTTCTTAAGAGATAATGTAAGAACCTGACACTTTTGTGGAGAGACATTTTCCAAGTAGAAGACCAATATACAGCCTTTCCAGATCCTGTTGTAAAAGATGACAATCGTTTAAGTTTTTTTTTTGCGAAATAATTTGATGTCATCGGCAAACAAAAGGCAATACGAAGATGGGAATACATTAGGAACATCATTGACAAACATTGTGAACAACAAAGGTTCTAATATGGAGCCTTGTGGGACTCCGGATGTGACAGGCAGCCAGTTAGAAGTAAATCCATTATAGGTTACACGTTGAAAACGATTATGAAGGTAACTTTGAATCTAGGAGAGAAGAGATCCAGGGATGCCAAATTTCTTGAGTTTGTACACTAGTAAGTCGTGACAGACCTTGTCGAATGCTTTAGAATAGTCAGTATACACTATGTCACACTGACTTTTTGCATCAAAGGCTTCAGAGGCAACAGACAGCATCATTGCAAGATTGGTCTGACACGACCTACCAGGTACAAAGCCATGCTGGAAAGGAGTAAGAACAGATGATATATGAGAAGAAACACGATTTTTTCAAAGATTTTAGAAAGTGTAGGTAATAAAGAAATAGGTCGATAATTCTCAACTTAAGCACGAGATCCGGATTTGAAAACAGGACAGATGTTACTACGTTTCCAATCAGATCAGAGGGGAAACACCAGAACTAAGAGAAAGTTGAGAAATATAGGAAAGAGGAAGAGAAAATTTCAGGATCTTGTTTGTCAGCCTGTCACAGCCGGAAGCCGTATGGGCTTCAATACCCGCGAGTAGTTTTTCAACATGATTCAAATGATATATTTGAAAGATAACCTATTAAGTATTTGGGAAGTTCTGGAAAGGCTGTGACTTGAATGTCAGTAAAAACGGAGTGAAAAAATAAATTAAAAATAGTTGCTTTGTCTTTATCAGTAGCAGCCTTAGTGTTTCCATAATGCAGCATTCATTAACATCATCATAACATCGTAAAACATTCCATGGTATACAGTTAAAAATATTGCACATATCAGACCAATTGGTTTTAGAAAAATTGAAAATAGTCCTATGACAATGTCTCTGTTGGGAACAGGAATCGAAGTCGAACTCAATGTGTAGAGAAACATGATCAGACTCAAATATCGTGTCCACAACAGAAACACTGCAATTAAATTTAAAATTACTATTACAAAATACATAGTCTAAAATGTGTTTACACGTGTAGTTAATAAATTATATTGAACTAAGTTAAAATGATTAACAATTTGATCAGAGAAGCACAGATTAATAGCAGAGTTCAAGCCCGTAGCCAGGATTTTGGT